TGAGAGGGTGGGCGAGCGGGTGGTGGGTGGGTGAGCGTGGGGGTGGTGAGCGACGACGCTCACCACGACAGACACGCCCTCGTGGACGAGCGAGGGCGACGCGTACAGGCTGCTCGAGTACTTCCCCACGTACAGGGTCGGTCTGCACACACACAAAGACAAAGGTCCCCCGTGTAGCATTTGACAGACTGTTGGGGCAAGTGCTGTTAGCGAGTAGAACCGATGAAGGCCGGCACGGCACATGTGTTGTTGAGCGGCGATGCAAAGCGCATGCGGGAGGGCGGCTCCATCCAAAACAAGAGGGGCAGACGAAACGCATCTTACACATCTAATCAGCCGCACGCACGGCCTCCTGGGATTCATCTTTCTTGGTTCTTTCGGTAAAGTCACGTAGAATGGAAAAAATAAAAAAAAATAAAAAAAACATAATAAAATAAATGTATTATGTTGTATATTTATTACTTTATTATTTCCATTCTTTATTAGGGTTAATTTTTATTATTTTATTATTTCCATTCTACGTGACTTTACCGAAAGAACCAAGAAGATGAATCCCTGCAGTCACGAAAGCTTTAAATCGAAAAGGCCTCCTGGGATTTCATCATTTCAGCGGCAGCGGCGATTCAAGACGAACAAAACTCTGCACCGGTTTCGACATTCAGCGTCTCATCAGCAGCAGGGTCGAGCTTCGCTTGAATCAACGCTTGACCCAATCGCGCACAAATACATACCTTGTCCTGTTAATGTGCGTGTGCTGTGTGTGTGCGGTGTGTGCTGTGTGTGCTGTGTGTGCTGTGTGTGTGTGTGCTGTGTGTGTGCTGCGTGTGTGCTGTGTGTGTGTGCTGCGTGTGTGCTGTGTGTGTGCTGTGTGTGTGCTGTGTGTGTGCTGCGTGTGCTGCGTGTGCTGTGTGTGCTGTGTGTGCTGTGTGTGTGTGTGTGCTGTGTGTGTGTGCTGTGTGCGCGTGTGTGCTGCGTGCGTGCTGTGTGCGTGATGTGTGTGTGCTGTGTGCGCGTGTGTGCTGTGTGCGCGTGTGTGCTGTGTGCGTGCTGTGTGCGTGATGTGTGCGTGCTGTGTGCGTGCTGTGTGCGTGATGTGTGTGTGCTGTGTGCGTGCTGTGTGTACTGCTGCGTGTGCTGCGTGTGCTGCGTGTGTGCTGTATGTGCTGTGTGTGTGCTGTGTGTGCTGTGTGTGCTGTGTGTGTGTGCTGTGTGTACTGCTGTGTGTACTGCTGTGTGTGCTGCGTGTGCTGCGTGTGCTGCGTGTGTACTGCTGCGTGTGCGTGCTGTGTGCGCTGTGTGTGCTGCGTGTGTGCTGTGTGTGTGTGCGCTGTGTGTGCTGCGTGTGTGCTGTGTGTGTGTGCTGTGTGTACTGCTGTGTACCGCTGTGTGTGCTGTGTGTGCGCGCTGTGTGTGCTGCGTGTACTGCGTGTGTGCTGTGTGTGCTGTGTGTGTATGCTGTGTGTACTGCTGTGTACCGCTGTGTGTGCTGTGTGTGTGTGCTGCGTGTGCTGCTGCGTGCGCTGCGTCGTGCACCGGCGGCTGCGTCCGCGCCGCACTCACAGCAGCTTGGTGTTGGCGGGCCCCAGCGGGAAGGGGTACTTCCAGCGCGTGATGCGTCCCGCGTCGCCCGACATGAAGGTGAGGAAGCGCAGCGTCTCAGCGGCGACGGCGGTGCGCGCCACGCGGCGCAGCGCGCTGCCGCTCCACGCGTACAGCCCCACGGCCGGCGAGCCGAAGTCGCGGGCCCACGCCACCTGCCCCGTGTCGCCGTCCACCGACACCACCAGCCCGTCGCCGCTCGAAGCAAAGTGCACCAGCGCTGCGAGCGGGGGGGGGGGGGGCACGTGACACGGTTGGGTTAGGACGCGGGGGTCAAGGCGGCCTGCTTTGTCGTTGTTACGCGAGGGTGCCTGCCGAGTACGTATGTGCGTGGGTTGGACTTCGTTCGCACCGTACGTAGGCGACCGTGCTAATTGGAGTGTATAGTAGTGGAGTGTATAGTAGTGTACAGTAGTATAGTGTACAGTAGTATATAGTAGTGTATAGTGTAGTGTATAGTAGTGAAGTGTATAGCCACGTGCAGTAGTTTTTACGCACGTAGCCAACCATGCTAATCGAAGGTGCAGGGAAAGTTTGTCAATCGGGATGATGATGATGATGATGATTTCAAAGTGCGTAGCTCCAGCGGCCTCCTAATATCTCAAGGAAAGAGCGTTCCAGACGGCCGCAGTTGCGCATGCGGTGACCACCGTCTTTGCTCAATCGCTCGCCTAACGCCACTGCGAGGATGAGCGGCGTTCAAGCTCCTTGACGAGATGTATTGAGCACGACCTGATAATGCGAGGATGTAACGACACTGGGCCGTGCGTAAGTGCGCAGGCGTTTTTTGCGGAACGGTGGCGCAGCGCTTTGCACGAAGCTCTACGGACCCGGCGACACCAACACCGGCGTGGTGCTGGCCACCCACCACCTCGTGTGCCGTGCCGGCCTTCTTAGGTGTTGCTACTCGCTAACGGCACTTAAGGGGCATCTTTGTCTTTGCGTCAGTGAGTGTCTGTGGGTGAGCGAGATTGAGTGGAGTTTGTATGATCCCTCTCCCCCTGTTCTGCAGAGTGAGAGTGAGTGAGTGGAGTTTGTGTGATCTCCCCCTGTTCTGCAGAGTGAGTGAATGGAGTTTGTATGATCTCTCCCCCTGTTCTGCAGAGTGAGTGAGTGGAGTTTGTATGATCTCTCTCCCTGTTCTGCAGAGAGTGAGTGAGTGGAGTTTGTGTGATCTCCCCCTGTTCTGCAGAGTGAGTGAGTGGAGTTTGTGTGATCTCCCCCTGTTCTGCAGAGTGAGTGAGTGGAGTTTGTGTGATCTCCCCCTGTTCTGCAGAGTGAGTGAGTGGAGTTTGTATGATCTCTCTCCCTGTTCTGCGGAGTGAGAGTGAGTGGAGTTTGTATCATCTCTCTCCCCCTGTTCTGCAGAGTGAGTGAGTGGAGTTTGTATGATCTCCCCCTATTCTGCAGAGTGAGTGAGTGGAGTTTGTATCATCTCTCTCCCCCTGTTCTGCAGAGTGAGTGAGTGGAGTTTGTATGATCTCCCCCTATTCTGCAGAGTGAGTGAGTGGAGTTTGTATCATCTCTCTCCCCCTATTCTGCAGAGTGAGAGTGAGCGAGAGTGGAGTTTGTATAATCTCTCTCTCCCTGTTCTGCAGAGTGAGAATGAGTGGAGTTTGTATGATCTCCCCCTGTTCTGTAGAGTGAGAGTGAGTGGAGTTTGTATTATCTCTCTCCCCCTGTTCTGTAGAGTGAGAGTGAGTGGAGTGTGTATGATCTCCCCCTGTTCTGCAGAGTGAGTGAGTGAGTGGAGTTTGTGTGATGTCCCCCTGTTCTGCAGAGTGAGTGAGTGGAGTTTGTGTGATCTCCCCCTGTTCTGCAGAGTGAGTGAGTGAGTGAAGTTTGTATGATCTCCCCCTGTTCTGCAGCGTGAGTGAGTGAAGTTTGTATGATCTCCCCCTGTTCTGCAGAGTGAGTGAGTGAGTGAAGTTTGTATGATCTCCCCCTGTTCTGCAGAGTGAGTGAGTGAGTGAAGTTTGTATGATCTCCCCCTGTTCTGCAGAGTGGAGTTTGTATGATCTCCCCCTGTACTGCAGAGTGGAGTTTGTATGATCTCCCCCTGTTCTGCAAAGTGAGAGTGAGTGGAGTTTGTATGGTCTCCCCCTGTTCTGCAGAGTGAGAGTGAGTGAGTGAGTGGAGTTTGTATGATCTCCCCCTGTTCTGCAGAGTGAGTGAGTGGAGTTTGTATGATCTCTCCCCCTGTTCTGGAGAGTGAGCGAGTGGAGTTTGTATGATCTCTCTCCCCCTGTTCTGCAGAGTGAGTGAGTGGACTTTGTACGTTCTGGCAACAACGACATCGCGTGGTTACGTTGCTGTGAGAGTGAACGCGTAGTTTGTACAGTGCTGCTGCTGCTGCGCCTCCACGTCGGGCAGACTGGCCGAGTAGTCGTAGTAGGTGGCGTTCCAACGCACCTCGCGCGTCGCCGTGTCGTACAGGGTCACCGTGTACTCTACGCACAGACACACACACACACACAGACACACACACACACAGACACACTGTCTCACCGTGTACTCGACGCACAGACACATACAGACTGACACACACAGACACACACACACAGACACACTGTCTCACCGTGTACTCTACGCACAGACAGACACACACAGACAGACACACACAGCCACACACACACAGACACACTGTCTCACCGTGTACTCTACGCACAGACACACACACACAGACACACACACACTGTCTCACCGTGTACTCTACGCACAGACAGACACACACAGACAGACACACACAGACACACAGACACGCTGTGCATCACCGTGTACTCTACGCACAGAAACACACAAAGATCCCACGTGTAGCCTTAACAGACTGTAGGGGCAAGTGCTGTTAGCGAGCACCTATGAAGGCCAAAACAGTACATGAGGGGGTGGGTGGCCAGCACCACGCCCGGCCGCCTTTGTCTCCCTAGTGACGATGTTTACACACCGCACCGACTGTGTGTGTGTGCGCGACTGGTGTGGTGTGTAGTGTGGTGTGTAGTGTGGTGTGTAGTGTGGTGTGTAGTGTAGTGTGTAGTGTGGTGTAGAGTGTGTAGTGTAGTGTGTAGTGTAGTGTGGTGGGTAGTGCGGTGTGTAGTGTGGTGTGTAGTGTGGTGTGTAGTGTGGTGTGTAGTGCGGTGTGTAGTGCGGTGTGTAGTGTGATGTGTAGTGTGTTGTGTAGCGTGGCGTGTAGGGTGGTGTGGAATGTGTAGTGCGGTGTGTAGTGCGGTGTGTAGTGCGGTGTGTAGTGTAGTGTGGTGTGTAGTGTGTAGTGTGGTGTGTAGTGTGGTGTGTAGTGTGGTGTGTAGTGTGGTGTGTAGTGCGGTGTGTAGTGCGGTGTGTAGTGCGGTGTGTAGTGTGTTGTGTAGTGTGGCGTGTAGGGTGGTGTGGAGTGTGTAGTGTAGTGTGGTGTGTAGTGCGGTGTGTAGTGTGGTGTGTAGTGTGTAGTGTGGTGTGTAGTGTAGTGTGTAGTGTAGTGTGTAGTGTGGTGTGTAGTGTGGTGTGGAGTGTGTAGTGTAGTGTGTAGTGTGGTATGTAGTGTGGTGTGTGGTGTGGTGTGTGGTGTGATACCAGAGCGGCCGATGTAGAGGAGTGGTGAGGAGGGACACACGTTGACAGGGAAGGCCGTGGTGAGTGTCTGCTGCTTCTCACCCGTGGTGGGGTCCACCACGTACCACGCGTCCACCTTCCTGCCTACACGGGGTCAACGTTTACGGGGTCAAAGCTTACGGGGTCAACGCTCACGGGGTCAACGCGCATGGGGTCAACGCTCACGGGGTCAACGCTCAAGGGGTCAACGATCACGGGGTCAACGCTCAAGGGGTCAACGCTCACGGGGTCAACACTCACGGGGTCAACGCTCACGGGGTCAACGCTCACGGGGTCAACGCTCACGGGGTCAACGCGCGCACACCAACCACACCAATAACAATAACAGCACGTCGACTCCATCACACACGGAGCGGCAACAGCAACCACAATAACAACTGTAACAACGACGACAAGAACAAGGAAAAAACAACAACGATGACAAAACCACCAACACCACCAACACCACCAACACCACCAACACCACCAACACCACCACCAACACCACCAACACCAACACCACCAACACCACCACCAACACCACCAACACCACCACCAACACCACCAACACCACCACCAACACCACCAACAACAACACCACCAACAACAACACCACCAACAACACCAACAGCAGCAGCAGCAGCAGCGGCCACCTTGAGGCAGCACCAGGCCCGGTGCTGCCTCAAGTGCCGGCGAGCGGCGCGTACCGGTGTAGAGGACGCCGTCGCTGCTGCGGCACGGAGAGGCCTGCACCAACTCCGGGATGGTGAATGGCAGCTTCTGCTCACCTCGGCGGAGACACGCGGCAAGGCATTCACACACGCGGCACGGAGACACGCGGCAAGGCATTCACACACGGCACGGTGCAGACGCGCGGCAAGGTATTCATACACGCGGCACGGTGGAGCCACGCGGCACGGTGGAACCACGCGGCATGGCACCGACACGCGACATCACGGAGACACGCGGCACGGAGGGGACGCACGGCATGATGGGCACATTTAGGCGAGGGTCTCGTGTCACTCCCCACGACGCACAGACGGAGAGCGGGGGACGGGGTAGAGGGGAGAGCGGTGAGGGTAGATTGGTGAGGGTAGAGCGGTAAGTGGTGAGCGTTGAGGAGTGAGGGGAGAGGAGTGGTGAGGGTCCAGCAGTGAGCATTGAGTGGAGAGTGGTGGGTGGTGAGCGGTGGGTGTAGAGCGGTGAGTGTAGAGCGGTGAGTGTAGAGCGGTGAGTGTAGAGCGGTGAGTGTAGAGCGGTGAGTGTAGAGCGGTGGGTGTAGAGCGGTGAGTGTAGAGTGGTGGGTGTAGAGCGGTGAGTGTAGAGTGGTGGGTGGTGAGCGGTGGGTGTAGAGCAGTGAGTGGAGAGTGGTGGGTGTAGAGCGGTGAGTGTAGAGTGGTGGGTGTAGAGCGGTGAGTGTAGAGTGGTGGGTGGTGAGCGGTGGGTGTAGAGCGGTGAGTGTAGAGTGGTGGGTGGTGAGCGGTGAGTGTAGAGCGGTGAGTGTAGAGCAGTGAGTGTAGAGCGGTGAGCGACGTGAGGTGAGGAGCGAGGATGCGTGAGGGTGAGCCCCTCACAGCGAGTCCCTCGCCGTGTTTCCCCCCGAGCGTGTAGAGGCTGCCATCGCTGGGGTCCGGCAGGAATGCGGGTCTGGTAGCGCACACAAAACAAGGAGGTCAAAACACGCGTGGCACGTCGTCACCATCGTCGTCACCATCGTGGGGCTGCTGCTGCTGCTGTTGTGGTATGTATATGTATGTACGTTGAACTTGGATGCACGGTGAAAGGGCAAGAAACTAAACACAAAAAAGCAGGTCTTTAAGAAATTAGTTTTCAACGTAGTATAGTGCCGTAGTGTAGTGTATAGTAATATACTGTAGTGTAGAATGTAGTTCGTGTAGTGTATAGTAGTGGATAGTGTAGTGTATAGCATAGTGTGCGTAGTGTATAGTAGTGGATAGTGTAGTATGTATGTACAACTTTTTTCACACCGTACATAGCCAACCGTGCTATCGTGGTATAGTGTGTAGTGTGTTGTATACTAATGTATTGTAGTTTATAGTGTAGTGTATAGTGCAGTGTATAGTAGTGTATAGTGTAGTGTGCGTAGTGTATAGTAGTATATAGTAGTATATAGCGTAGTAATTATGTATGTAGAACTTCTTTCGCACCGTACGTAGCCAACGGTGCTAATTGGAGGTGCGCGCTGGGGGGGGGGGGACAATAAACTGGACCAAGGCCTCCGGAATTCTCTCCCGTCTTCCCAGCTGCTCCGGCTTCTGTGTCCGCTCCATCTCACTCTCCGCTCCTCTACCCCACGTGCCTGTTCCTCCACTCTAGCGCGAGTGGGTTTCCCCCTCCCGCCTCTCGTCAGCAGTTCTCTCGACGGGGCCGCTGCCCACGTCCGCTGCAATTCCCTTCGCTTTAACGGCGATCCTTGATTGTTGTATTTTTGTTACGAGGTTAAGAAGGCCCACCGACTCTATCCGCTGTTTTGTTCAGAAGCGACCTTGGCACACGCGATGGTTCAGCCCAAAGAAGTGGCCCTTCTCCATCGTCGTCGTCATCATCGGCATCACCACGTGGGAATTTGTAAAAGGCATTCCGTGGGTGGTTCCTGTCCTTGTGTCTGCATCGTACCTTAACCCCAACGTGTGGATATCCAATTCCAAAATTAAGTTAAATCATTTTTATTTTAACAGGTAAAGTTAAACTGAGCTTTTACACCATTGGAACCTCATTTGCCAGTAAAAAATATGATAATTGGTTTTTTACCCTTCTATCTTGCAACAAAACTGGAGTCATGTTTGCATAGACCACAATACCTGCAGTCATAATGCAAACAAAACACATAACTTTGATAATGTATGCACTGTACATTATCAGAGTTAGGACAGTGCATACATTATCAGTTATGTTTTTTTTTTGCATTATGACCGCAGGTATTGTGGTCTATGCAAACATGACTCCTTGTAAAAAAGGTGTCAGTTTTGTTGCCAGATAGAAAGGTAAAAAAACAATTAAACTGAGCTGTGTAGCTCTTTTACAGAACTGACCTGGCTACTAATGACAGCCCTACGAAGTGGCTTATCATCATCATCACCACGTGGGAATTCATAGCCGCAGCCCAATACTCTTTACGACACGCGTTTGTCTCCGGACGCATTTCATTCGCAAAAGACCACGCCGAGGGGTGCAAATTGTGTTTCCCGTGGGCCTGGAGGTGCTGATGCAAAGCCGGTAGGGTGACCAGGCAAGGCCCTAGGCTTCGCTATGGGGTTAGGCCTCGCTTGTCACGTGTGCCCATGGGCTATTGAAAAGGTTGGGGAACGTGGCGTGTAAACCGTCATGCAAAGTCCGCTCATCCTCGCTGCAGCGGCTTATGGCTCTAACCGTCAAACAAAGACGGCGGCCACCGCATCGCGCGGCGCTTTTGGATGCGCTTCTGCGGCCGTCTGGAACGTTCTTGCTTCCGATGTTACAGGCAGCCACTGGAGCTGCTCACTTTTAAATCGTCGTCGTCGAGATTGACAAACTCGTTTCTTTAGAACTGATTTTGCACGGTTGGTTACGTACGGTGCAACAGAAGTTCAACACGCACGCGAAACACGGGGAGACGCGAGGGGGTGAGGTGAGGCAAGCCACTTACTCGGCAAGATGAACGGGCACCTGCAGCACGGGCTCTGCAAGACAGCAAAGACAAAGATCCTCATATAACCTTTGACAGGCTGTCAGGGCAAGTGCTGTTAGGGAGCAGCACCTATGAAGGCCGGAACGGCACACGAGGAGGTGGGTGGCCAACACCACGCCTGGCCGCACTGGGTAATCATTTGAGGCTCAGTCGACCTAGGAGAGGCCCAGGACCAATTCAGATAATCGTCACTGAGTCGGGACTCGAACTAAGGCCCCCTTTTGCTGTGCGGCGACTGGCGCCCCCCGGTGCCCCCCCGGTGCCCCCCCGGTGCCCCCCGACTCCCACCGGTGCCCCCCGGTGCCCCCTGGCTCCCACCGGTGCCCCGCCCATGCCCACCTTCCTTGAGGGTCCACTTGACGGCGCCGGTGAGGCGTGAAACGGCGTGCATGTTGCCGTCCAGCGTGGAGACAAACAGCAGCGTCTCCGGCACCGCCACGGTGCCACCCTCGCCCACGCCGGGGCAAACCTGCGGTGGCACGCGGCGGTGGCACACGGGGGAGTTAGATGGGCAGGGCACGGGCAGAAGTGGCACACAGCAGTGGCACGCGGGGAAGCGAGGCACGCGGTGGTGGCACACGTGGGGCAGTGGCGGGCATGGATGTTGCCCATGGTGGCGGTGACACGTGGCGGGGGGAGTGGCACACATGGTAGTAATACGCGGTAGTGAATAGTTGCACAGGAGATGCACCAACAGGTCTTGACAAGAACACACCCGCACACACCAGTCAGCATGCACACAGACATCACTACAGTCACACTCAAGTACACGCATCACTCCACGTACACGCACACACACACACAAAACTACACACATCCACACACACGCACACACCACTAGTCACCCCCAAGTAAACACATCACATGCACATTTCCCAACAATACAGCCCACAAATCCGACACTGTTCGGGCAGCAGTGACGGTTAGTGGATCACACAAAAAAAAACCCCATCACCAAGCGGCAGCATGTACAACATTCGACGGCGCGTGTCGTGACGGGGTTACCACAAGATCTGACACCGTGTCCGTCCAGTGTAGTGTATAGTGTAGTATACAAGTACAGCACTAGTGTATAGTGTAGTGTAGTGTGTAGTGTATAGTGTAGTATACTAGTACAGCACTAGTGTATAGTGTAGTGTATAGTGTAGTGTGTAGTGTATAGTGTAGTGTATAGTGTAGTGTATAGTGTAGTATACTAGTACAGCACTAGTGTAGTGTATAGTGTAGTATACTAGTACAGCACTAGTGTATAGTGTAGTGTATAGTGTAGTATACTAGTACAGCACTAGTGTATAGTGTAGTGTATAGTGTAGTATACTAGTACAGCACTAGTGTATAGTGTAGTGTATAGTGTAGTATACTAGTACAGCACTAGTGTATAGTGTAGTGTATAGTGTAGTATACTAGTACAGCACATCGGTTGTGTGTTGGCGAGCCAAGCCACGTTTACAATCTCAGTCCGACGTTTCGCCCATAATTACAACCAGCTTCATCAGGCGACAGCCAGATGTGTCACCCTTCTATCTGCTTTGCACGACTATCGTGTGTTTGCATTGTTTGTTGTTGTAACTTTCTGACCCCATGACCCATACGGACATCTGTAACAAAGAGCTTCATAGCTCACCGGATTTCCCCCTGCGGTCTGAATCAAAGAGTCCGAATCTGAAGTGGGAACTCATCTCCATCCGTTTCCATCTGCACGGGGACAGAGTACTGTGGCCCCTACGCATTGCGGGGGGGTTCTCTCCGGCCGCTCCGGTCTCCTCCCGCGTGTATCATCATTCAATAATTGGTGGGAAACTTCTTCACATGTAGAGGACCGCAGAGCTCGGAGCAAGCGTTTGGTAGCGCCAGCGGATCATCGCGCCGCTAGTTCCACACCACCGCACCAAGTATTCGTTTTAAATTCTTAGTCGACCCAGTGGCGGCCCAGGGACCGGCTTAAATATCCGTCGCCGAGGTTCGTAGCGATGTCGACACGCTCCCGTTTCCACGGCGACACGCTCCCGTTTCCACGGTGATGCCACGGCCCCCCCCCCCCCCCCCCGCAAGGCCGTCGGTACACGATACGCGGCCGACGTCCCCCGCCACCAGCGTCGTGGTGATGGGGGGGGGGGGCCTCGCGATTCAGGAACCGGCGTTGGCAACCGACCAGCCGTTGCCACATCAGCCGGCCACCGTCGCCCACGCCACCGCAACTCGGCCTTCAAGTGCTTCTGCTTCGGCTCAAATTCGGCCGGTCGTGATGAGGCCTTGGCAAGGCCGAGGAGGAGCCACCAGGGCGACCAACACACGCCCCAAGCTCTGTGGGTCCTCCGCACATGAAGATTTTTTCAGCCGAATGAATGAGGGTCCATGCGTGCGGGAGGAAAACCAGAGGAGCCGGGAGAAAGACGGAACGATTCACGGGCGTGGGAATTCACAGACGAGCGTGGGAAGGTGGCCAGAACCAACAGTTGAGACGATGCGGTTGCGGCTTCACCGTTTCCCCTCCTCCCGCCAACACCGCGGTTACGCGACGAGCCAAGCGGTGTCACGGGCACCAGGCCAGCGGCGGTGGTATCGGTGGCGGCACAGCGGCACGGCACAGCGGCACGGCACAGCGCCATGGCATCGGGCGGCACGGCACGGCGCGCTGACGGTAGCGCGACTCGCAACGCGCAGCGTCAGCGGCTGTGCGCCAACAACAACGGCGATGACAAACGCCGACGATCGCGACTTCAACAACGACCGACGCTAACCGTGAAACCCTCTCCCCCCCCCCCCCCCCCGTCAACAACAAACCGTCCTGCCAAACTCACCCCTGAGCACTCACCGCACCCCCCCCTAACAAACACATCTCTGACACTGACAATCACACCACGGACCCTAATCTTGACAACCACCCCAAGAAGCAAGCACATCTCTGCCAATGACCCACACCCCCCCCCCCCAAATCCGGCTGTCAATGTACGTGTGTTGAACTTCTTTCGTACCGTACGTAGCCAAGCGTAGCTAATCGAAGGTGCGAAGGGGAAGGGCAACAACCTAAACACAAAAAGTGGCTCTCAAGGAATTTGTTGTCAATCTAGATGATGATTTAAAAGTGCATAGCTCCAGTGGCTTCCGAATATCAGAAAGAAGAGACGCATAGAGACCCACAGAGATCCAGAGACTCGTACAGAACCATAGAGACCCACAGAGACCCATAAAGACCCATACAGAACCATAGAGACCCACAGAGATCCAGAGACTCATACAGAACCATAGAGACCCACAGAGACCCACAAAGACCCATACTCATATGTATGTACTGCACGTTCAACTTCTTTCGTACCGTACGTAGCCAACAATAGCTAATCAGGGGTTCGCAGGGGAAATACAAACTAAGCACAGAAAACAGTTCCAAAGAAATTAGTTCGTCAATCAAGATGATGACTTAAAAGTGCACAGCTCCAAGTGGCTTCCTAATATCATGTTGGCGGTGGTGCACGACTTCGCGGCACGTGCGTGCCATGGGGAAGGGCCATCGCCCGAAACGTCTGTTTTTTTCTTACCCCCCCCCCCACCCTCTAAAGGCCAGGCACACGCGGAGTTGTCAATGACGGGACCCGTTGGGTGTTAAATCAACAAGCGGCAGCGTTGCGCACAATGTAAGACAACAACAACAACAAACACCGTCTACTACGGGAGGTGCGACAGAGAGAAGGCGAGATGCGTGGGTGAGAGGCGAGGGGATTCCATTGCTGAGCCACACAGCTCTTGGTCAGGAAGCGACGTGGCCAACACAAATGACAAAAACAAAGTTGATTACCATCACGTGGTAAGCCGAGGGAAAACTCGGAGGGGAAACAGAGACACGTAAATTACAAATATAGAGCAGGCGTCAGGGTCCAGATCGAGCCCACGACCTCATGTATACCAGGCGAGGTAGTTAACATCTCCTAGCCACCGTGATGATGATGATGATGAGAAAGAGAGAGACACGCAAACTCCAAATATACAGCAGGCGTCAGGGTCGGGATCAAACCCACAACCTCCTGTGTATCAGGCGAGGTAGTTAACATCTCCTAGCCACCGTGATGATGATGACAGAGAGAGAGACACGCAAACTCCAAATATACAGCAGGCGTCAGGGTCGGGATCGAACCCACGACCTCCTGTGTACCAGGCGAGGTAGTCAACATCTCCTAGCCCCCCCCCCCCACCCCACAGAAGCCGTGCGACTGAACCGCGTGGATTTAAAATCGAGCGTAAACCGACGAAGACGTGGGGATTGAGCGGCCGCCCCTCTCACGAGAGTGACGCGACGCGCCCGTTGAACATCTCGCTGTGGTGTCGGACGTACCCGGACGAAACGAGAACCGGTGGTGCTGCTGGTGGCGGTGACGGTGCATCACCTCTCCCCGTGCTCGCATCTAACCCGCCAATTAGTTCCAGAAATAGGCCACATTATTCTAAACTGGTAAGATAATCACCGGGAGCATGACACACACACACCGCACGCGCAGTCATCTGGTTTCAGACATTCATGGCCGGGGGCCGCCTAATTTTCAAAACAACGACCACCGATAACAACAACAACCACCACCACTTCCAGGAACAACCACGCACTAATTACCACCACCGCTGCCTTTTAGTTTGTTGTCCTTCCCCTGCACCTCCGATTAACACGGTTGGCTACGTACGGTGCAAAAGAAGTACATACATATGAGTATGGGTCTTTATGGGTCTCTGTGGGTCATACATACATACAAACATACGTACAATACACCACCACCACCTCCAACAACAACAACATTCTCCAACAACCGCTGCAGCAGTTGCCGCTGTGCCACGCTCTCACTTTCACCCACAACGACAACACCACCAACACCACCATCAACACCACCACCACCACCACCGGAAAACAGCAGCGGCGACGACGACGTCACCGCGGCGCTTGTGCCAGGCTAGGTGCACTTTGAAGAAGGTCACGTGAAGTGTGGAAGGCTCTCCCTGCTGACAGGAAGCCAGGGGACACAGCCAGGTGCTGTGGGTGAACTGAGGTGCCAGGCTAGGTGCACACTGAGGCCGTCACGTTAAGTGTGGAAGGCTCTCCCTGCTGACAGGAAGCCAGGGGACACACCCAGGTGCTGTGGGTGAACTGAGGTGCCAGGCTAGGTGCACACTGAGGCCGTCACGTTAAGTGTGGAAGGCTCTTCCTGCTGACAGGGAGGAGGTCACGGGACAGGCCCAGGTGCTAAGGGTCAAAGTGAACGATATGACTATCAGGTGCAAGATACACATGGCCACCCAGACTCGCGCACACTGTCACACCACGTGTACGCACACCGCGCCCGTGCACAAAGAACAAAGATCCCCCGTACAGCCTAAACACATTCCTGCGGAGGGAGCTGGTAGTAACGTTGGGTTGCTCGGTCAATGGCCTGCAGGGTCAACGACGGCGTGGTGTATTCCGCAAATATGCCCGACTGTGAGGGCGGGCACAAGCCGGCGTGAGTAGGTTAAACGTTGAGTTTTATAAGGGCACCACGGGGTGACCAGCCCCTCCCCTCCGCACCCAGCCCCACCCCTCCCACCCCCCACCCAGCCCCACCCAGCCCCACCCTCCCCACCCAGCCCCTCCCCACCTTCCCCTCTCCACCCAGCCCCATCCCTCCCATTTTT